TGTAGATATTTCAATATACCATATTAGTCGAATAGCTGTCGTTGTAAATCCTCACGTTTTGGTATTGTCATTATTGTTTGTGTGTGTGTGTGTGTGCGCGCGCGCGTGTATATGTGTGTGTGTGTGCGCGCGCGTGTATATGAGTGTGTGTGTGTGCGCGCGTGTGTGTGTTTGTGTGTGTGTGTGTGTGTGTGTGTGTGTGTGTGTGTGTGTGTAGGGTGTGTGCGTGTGTGTAGGGTGTGTGTGTGTGTGTAACCTACCTTAGGAAAGGTATGAATTCAAGCATGAAACAGATTGTCGCCATTCGGTGTTAAGATCGGTGTCTACTTTTATACTTACTTACGCTCTATTCCTTTTTACTCACAAATATAACATCTAGGTCACATAATGGGGAAAGGAGGTTTGGAAAATCTGATACTCACAGGACAGATTGAAGGCAAGAGGAACAGAAGAAAACAAGACATAATACGCTTCATTAGCTTAAGTAAATGGATGGTAGAACAGAGTTAGGGGAGAAATATTAAAATTATAAATTTATTAAGAGCTACAAAAGACAGGAAATTGTGGAGAGACATGATCGCTAATTTCCTGAAGAGCCATTTCACATAGAAGAAGTTCGATCTTGTGGAAATGGATGGCGGACAAGATTAAAGAGAAATAGCAAAAAAGACTAAAATTATTAAGAGCTACGAAGGAGAGGAAATTGTGGAGAGCCATGATCACCGACGTAGTGAAGGGACACGGCACATAAGGAAGAAGTAATTGTGAATTCAAATCCTAGACTTAAATTCAGAGTGGAAATTCCCTTAAGTTTACTAAGATCGACATTCACCTGATGTAGGCTGGAAAGAAAATGAAAACAAAAAGGATATTTATACTTAACATCAGAAAATGACTATGGCACATAATGAGGAAAGAAAGCTTGGAAAATCTGATACTCTCAGAACAGATTGATGGCGATAGGAAGAGAGAGAAACAATGCATAATATGCTTAGTGAGCTTGAGTAAATGGATGGTAAAACAGAGTTTGGGGAGAAATAGTAAAAAGACAACTTTATTAAAAGCTACAGGACAGGACAGGAAATAGTGGAGAGCCATGATCGCCAATTTCCTGAAGATCCATTTCACATAGAAGTATGATCTTGTGGAAATGGATAGAGGACAAGGTTTAAAAGAAATAACAAAAAAGACAAAAATTATTAAGAGCTGCGAAGGAGAGGAAATTGTGGAGAGCCATGATCGCCAACGTACTGAAGGGCCACGGTACATCATCTTTTTGTTCTTCTTCTTGAAGTAGACGACGACGAAGAAGAAGAACAACAACAACAAGACTAGAGGCAATAATCATAAAAAAAATAGTAGAACCCTCTACCGGCCATCCTGGGTATGACGATGAATTATATCCGGCAGCAAGGACTTTCATCGAGAGATTGAATGTTTTGAGTAGCGTAGAACCGCTTCTTAACTGCTGTTGTTCCATCCTGGCACGGGGTGGTAGCACCTGTTAGGGTTCCAGCTATGGGCAAATTGAACTCCTATACAAATATCAACCGTTATTCTTTTTATAATAAAATGAGCAACAATATATTTTTATAGCAAAATTCTGTTATTTTGGATATCTCCAAGGCATTTGACAGGGTTTGGCATAATGGTCTTCTTCAGGAGTTGAAACGTCTTTCTGGACGAATTTTAGATCTGATTCTGTCGTTCTTATCAAATCATGAAATGAAAGTTATCTAGAACGGCCAATCTTCCAGGTCTTTTTGCATTAATGAAGGTGTCCCGACGACTCTAACCTTGCAGCTACGTTGTTCTTAACTTTCATCAATGACCATCCTGATGACAAGTTCTCAACTCGGTATCTACGCTGGTGACACAGATATTTACTCCTCTCTCAATAGAAACAATGGTCATATCGATAATGTTTACTGGACAGCTGATATAAAAATAACATACCATCTGTTGGTAAGGAATGGCTTCTTAATTTTATCGCCTTCAGAACAAAATGCTTTGTAGTAATCATATGGTAGACCACTTTTTGCCTTTTATCATCATGGCTGATGCTAACCTCCAGAAGAGTGGCTCATTGCACCTTCTTGGACTAACATCTGACATGAAGTAGAAAGATTATATTGAATCAATTGGTAGGTCTACTGCTAGGAAAGTTAGTTCCCTCAGTTGTGTTAGACAATATTTCTAGACAGAATCTGCCTTATATATTTATAAGTCTACGATTTGTCCACGGTCTGGTACCCCTGCCATATATTAAGAGATCCTTCATAAAAATCCAAAGAAGAATCTTCAATGTTGTTGGTCCTGCTCTGGCATGTCGGCTTTATTCACTTTGCCACCGCCAAAGTGTACCCTCTTTGCGCTTTTTCTATAAATAATTTCATGGTAACAGTTCTGGTGAACTTACATCTATGTTACCTAGACTTTATGAATTTAAGTGCAGTACTAGATGGGCGGAGAGGTCTCATCATTTTACAGTTGAAATTGCTGGATATAGCCGTAAGTTCTATGCTAACAGTTCCTTCTCTCGCACGTCTCCCTCGTGGAACCCTCTACCGGCCATCCTGGGTATGACGATGAATTACATCCGGCAGCAAGGACTTTCATCGAGAGATTGAATGTTTTGAGTAGCGTAGAACCACTTCTTAACTGCTGTTGTTCCCAGGTCCAACATGACACGGGGTGGTAGCACCTGTTAGGGTTCCAGCTATGGGCAAATAGTGAACTCCTATACAAATATCAACCGTTATTCTTTTTATAATAAAATGAGCAACAATATATTTTTATAGCAAAATGACAATCAATGCAAGACTAAAAAAAATATAAAAATATATATTTTATAGAAAAATTTCCAGCAATAAATTTTATGGCCTACAAACTATATATGTAAAACGTACATTTTATTCTGGAAATATCAAATTATGTCTAACATATCTGCAATTACGTGCAAAATATTTAGATTTCGGCATTAAATAACACATCGAGTTTGATATGTCGCTAAACAAATTCAACCAACGAAGAGTAACCATTAATATTGGACTGGTGCATATTTATCAGGCGTTTTTGTAGACGAGTTATTTGGTAATAAAAATTGCTGTCTTGTTTACTTTTTTTAATAAAAAATATTATTTTATTTTTAGGTTATGGAAATACGTGTCGATAATCATTTAAAAATGTTATTGTTGAATTGTTGTTTCTTTTTTATAATAAATATTGTTTGAAAAAACGCCTGATATACACGAACCGAATAAAAAAAGTTATCAACAATACCTATTTATAATAAATTTATCAACAATACCTATTTATACTAAATTTGCCAACAATACCTATTTATAGTAAAATTACTATACATATTTAAAGCAAAATTACCAACATTACGTTTTATTGGTAGTTAAGGGCTTACAGTTGCGTTCAATATATATTCAGTTGAAGCCTAAAATTTGTGTTCAAAATATTTAGATTTCGGCATTAAATAACACATCGAGGTTGATATGCCGCTAAACAAAATCAACCGACCAACAATACATGTTTATAGTAAAATTAACAACAATACATTTTATCAGTAGTTGATAGCATACAATTACGTTCAATATACATACATACATACATACATACATATATATATATATATATATATATATATATATATATATATATATATATATATTGTGTGTATTTAGGCAGCATCTTTTCATTCATACAATATGGATCAATATTGTGAATTTCTTTCTTCGTTCAATGATAATGTTATTAAACTTATCAGACGTTACGAAAAAATGTACATAAAATAAATAGACAGCACGTGTCTATATTATTTAATGATATGTGTATGAATATATATATATAGTTAAAGCCTTAAAACTTTAGATTTCGGAATTAAATAGCCCATACAGGCTGATATGTCGCTAAACAAATTCAATCGACCAACAATAACTATTTATAGTAAAATGGCGAACAACTATCTAACGCTCTTCCAGTTTCTTGCTTTCCTGTCAAGTGTGATTTTCAAAAACTTAAATTCAGTGTCAATCGTTCTATTCTGTCCTCTTGATTCAGGTTTTTTTTATTGTTCTCCCTTATTAATAATGTTTCTCTTTTTCTTATATTCTTTGGCACTCTGTATCTCCTGCGTCTCAGTGGCTTTATTGCCTTGCTTGAGGTGGAAGATTCGGGATGAAGAAATCCAAGAAATAAAATTAGAAGTTGAAGAAGAATGAAGAAGTAGAAGAGTCCAGAAGAAGAAGAATGATGAAGAAAAAAGAATGAAGAAGAATGTAGAAGAATGAAGGAGAATGAAGAATGAAGAAGACTGAAAATGAAGAAGAATGCAGAAGAAGATGATGAAGAAGAATAATGAAGAAGAAGAAGAAGAAGAAGAAGAAGAAGAAAGATGAAGGAGAAGAATGCAGAAGAAGAAAAAAATGAGGTAGAAGAAAGAGAATGAAAGAGAATGCAAAAGAAGAAGAATGAAAAAGAAGAATGAAGAAGAAGAATGCAGAAGAAGAAGAAGAAGAATACAGGAGAAAAAGAATGAAGAAGAAGAAGAAGAAAAAAAAAGAATGAAAAAGTAGAATGAAGAAGAATAATAAGAATGAAGAAGGAGAATGCAGAAGAAAAAAAATGAAGAAGAAAAAGAATGAAGAAGAAGAAGAATGAGGAAGGAGAAGGCAGAAGAAAAAAGAAGAAGAAGAAGAAGAATACAGGAGGAAAAGAATGAAAAAGAAAAAGAATGCAGAAGAAGAAGAATGAAGAAGAAGAAGAAGAAGAAGAAGAAGAAAAATCAAGTAGAAGAAGGAGAATGAAATAGAAGGAGAATGCAAAAGAAGAAGAAGAATGAAGAAGACGAAGAATGAAGAAGGAGTATGCAGAAGGAAAAAGAATAATGAAGAAGGAGAAGAATGCAGAAGAAGAAAAATGAAGTAGAAAAAGGATAATGAAATAGAAGGAGAATGCAAAAGAAGAAGAATAATGAAGAAGAAGAAGAAGAATTAAGAAAAAGAATGAAAAAGTAGAATGAAGAAGAAGAAGAAGAATGAAGAAGGAAAATGCAGAAGAAAAAAGAAAAATGAAGAAGAAGAAGAAGAAGAATACAGGAGAAAAAGAATGAAAAAGAATGAAGAAGAAGAAGAATGCAGAAGAAAAAGAATGAAGAAGAAGAATGAAGAAGAAGAATAAGAATGAAGAAGGAGAATGCAGAAGAAAAAAAGAAAAATGAAGAAGAAGAATGAAGAAGAAGAAGACGAAGGGTAACAACTGAAAGGATAAGAGCAAAACACAAAAAAACGAAAACGAAATCCTTTCTACCGAACTGAACCTTAACAAGAAAAAATGCTAATACTAAAAAGAATTAACGTTTCTCCCCAACAAAAACAAAATCCACGTCAAAGAGAAAAACTCTCAAAGAAAAAAAACATTAGTAAGTGAAAGGTAAAGAATCGCTGGAAGGTCATTATTGTCTATTTACAGAGAGGAAGCTGAAGAATCACAGACATTCTCGAACTGTCCATGAAGTGTGAGAATACGCTGTGAGAAGTTCTGGGACGTTAGGGTCCCCGGATGCTAGCCCTACCCGCGTGTGGATTGGGCTTTACCCAGCTTGTTCTATTTTGGCCTTGATCCTTGGATTTTCGAACGATATTCCATTGCCTTTTTTTTTTTTTTTTTTTGTGTGTGTGTGTGTGTGTCTGTGTGATTTATTGAAGAATTCAGCATTATTGATCTGTCATGGTTGACTCTAAAGATAGGCTGTGTTCATTATCTGCTATTTATTCTGGCCAGGACTGGAGGAATGGTAAAGAAGAAGGGACAAGAATGAAACGGGGAATGAATTCAAGGGGAAGAAAAAAAGAAGGAAAGAATGAATCAGTCGTAAAAAATATAAAAAAAAAACAGTGACAGAAGAAGAAAAAGAAAAAAGACGTGAATTAAAACAGAAGAAAAGAGAGAACAAATGGGTGAAATAAAAAAACAATATGGACTCTTCAAAAAAAAAAAAGAGAATTATAAAAGAAATCGAAAAAAATCGTGGGATGAGGAGGGGAAGAGCAAGAATGAAAAATTAAAAGAGGAATACAAAGAAAAATACGAGAAAAATATAAAAATACAAAAGTATAAAAAAAAAATTATTTTAAAGTCACGAGATAAGATAATGAATGAGAAAAATTAAAAATGGAAAAGTGTATCAGGACGTATGAGGTCATGGCTCTCCATAGTTTCCATTTCTGTATTATCTGGGAATTGACGTCTTTCTGGCGAAAATGGAGTGGTTTCCCGTTGCTGTCTCCTTCTGCATGACTTTGTATCCAAAGTGTACCTTCTCTCCGCCTAGTTACCACTGAATGCTGCTCTGGTATTTAGACAATAACATGTGGATATAAAAAATTATGGATTCATGCCTTTCTTAAGTGAGCGTAACAGGTTAGACCGGAATTTGAACCTGGCCTGACGAGTTCACTAATCTTGTCGGGCATAGTATTATTGTAGTATATTGCTACTGTGCTCAAATGAGGCGACAAACACACACACACACACATACATATATATATATATATATATATATATAAATTTGTTGCGACGAATGGGAGAAACACAGAATTTAGGAGTGCGCATACTGGAATTGACGGAGACCAATCTTCGGTGAATCTCTAGCCGACCTCTCTGTCCAGATCAAGAATCGGACCGGTCAAATAACGTTTGGGCACCTACGCAACATCACGTGTCTATGCCTTCTTCCGGTATGTCGCCTACGCAACTTCGTGTGACTACGCCTCTTCCAGTATGCAAGCACGGATTTCTTTCTGCTCAATACTCCTGTGCACCCTTTTTATTTTAGCTACCGGATGCATTTCCTGTTTATGCTGTCAACACACTGATGCCGCGGATGTAAAGCCAAAGGTCTTTCCTCGACCGATATCCGACACCAGAGTACTGATAACAGACAAAAAGAAATGAAAAATGAAATTGAAGGAAAGGGAGAAAATTTCAAACATGAAAAGGAAAAAGAACAAAACGATTACTCGACCCACATCATCGTCATCATCATCACCATAACAACAATTATGTTGACGCCTTGTGAACACATGATATTACTTTATCTCCAACAATACTCCAAATAACATCGCAGTTATTTACTAATTTTCTTCTCACCTCCCAATAGGTGTTGCTAGGTTTGCCTATCGTCCTGTTTACACTCCTCCCATGTTTTCTGAACAGGAGTAGATGTTTATTCCTCGGTTCCTTCTAAACTTTACTTTAACTCTATACTTCTAAAATCCCCGATTGAACTGTGAAAAAGTATTTCACATCTTGCCCTTTCTAACACTAATATACCACCACAAAGCAATCCTCTACCTTGAGTGACTCTTGGGCTTAGCATTGAACAAACACAAGTAAAGAAAAAATGAAATTTCTATTACAATTACTATTACAATTACTAGAATCTGAATGAATAGATATCGTGTGGTGCAAATGGCTCGTTTGCAAGGTGCAGTGAAATATCATCTAGGTTAAGAAGAAGAAGAAGAAGAAGTCACTGACAATATAAAGGTGTTTCATTAAGACGGATCAAAGTCAGCAGTAAATAAATCAGTGTTATTGGTAAAAATGTATTTCTTTCTTTATTGGATCATGTTATTTAAGTAATAGCAATTATATGTGAAAAATAATATCGCCTAAATGTCCGCCATGTCTTCGGCGGCACACCTCGTCTCTGTAGAAAAATCACGTGGTAGAGATAAACACTCAGTTGTGGAGCAAGCTAAGTGAACACTAATCCAACCTTTAGAAAGAGAGCTATTTATGTTGCCATAGAGCATCTCATTGTGCTAAAGTGGGATAGTCCATTGCTTGGGCTGTGATTGGCTGCTGGTACCTGAGTGGAGGTATTTCTATATAAATACCAGCTTGATTCAGCTGTTAGTTTGCAGGGTTTGTATTAAGTTACAACCTGCTTTATTTTTGTCTGCCAGCTGGACGCTAGCTGGGACCTTTACACCGGTAAGTGATGTTTATTATTGTTATTCTACAGTCTCTATGATCAAATTTTTTGATGATGTCACTGCATAGTTGCTCTTCGATCTCACCAATATGCCTTATTATCGCATCCTTCAGCTGGTGAATTGTTGTTGGCTTATTGGCATAGACCTTACTTTTGAGATGAACCCAAAGGAAGAAATCTAAAGGCGTTACGTCGCACGATTGTGGTGACCAATTGACTTCGCTGTTTCGAGAACTGATACGAAAAAGAAATTCCATTCAAATTCTGTTTGAACGCCCGTGTTCATAGTAGGCTTCGATAACTTTAACACGTTGTTTGATTGTTAATCTTTCCATAATTGAAGTTACCAAAGTTGTTAAATGTGAAAGAAATAGAAAAAAAAATCACCAGACGCTTAAACTTAATTTACATTTAAAATCGGTCCAATTTATTGAAACACCCTTTATGTCCTGTCCCCGTTATGTAAGCGCGAAGCTGCAAACGATCACAGAACTAGGGTAAGAAATCCTACTACAGGCGACATATTTTCCAGATCGGTCATCTTCAGAACGTCACTTTGGTACAGTCCGAGTTTTCCAATCGGGTACTCCATGTTCCGGCAAGTCCACACGGTCCTGTCTGTTTTTAATTAACCGGCATTATTTCGTGGTGCGATAATGGGGGCAGCGCCACGCGTGTTTACATTTTTTCGCAGTATCCGACAGAAGCAGAGTTTTTTTGTGGTACAGTCTTTAACTGCCTATTTACCCATTCAGGAAAATAAGTATTTTGTAATAAATATGGCGACAAAGATGAGGACAATAGTTGGGATAATGTAATTAAAGTACATAATACCTCATCTCAGAAATATAGACAGATACGGAAAGGCCGAAACGTTGTAATAAATATGGCAACATAGATGAGGACAATATTCCGAATAATGTAAATAGTGTACATAATACCTTATCTCAGAAATATAGACAGATACTGAAAGGCCGAAACGTTGTAATAAACATGGCGTAAAGATGAGGACAATAGTCCGAATAATGTAAATAGTGTACATAATACCTTATCTCAGAAATATAGACAGATACTGAAAGGCCGAAACGTTGTAATAAATATGGCGACAAAGATGAGGACAATAGTCCGAATAATGTAAATAGTGTACATAATACCTCATCTCAAAAATATTGACAGATGTCTTAAAATCATATTCATTTTCAAGTGGGAGTTTCTTTTGGAAGTGGAGAAAGTCGCAAGGGGTCAGATCTGGATGGGGGATATGGTGATTTGTCGAACCTGGGTAATGCTGCGCTTGACGAAAAACTGCTGCACAAACTATGGTAGCTGATGGAACGGCCACAATGATAAGACGAGCACAAACTACACACTTTTGTTCCAAGCACTGCTATAAATAAAGGAAGTGGACAAGGTTATAACTTCGTATGTACAGTGCTCCTCGATAAAAGTGACTCACCTGATTTTGTTTTTTACTAAATGTTCTCTCCCCCGATGAAACGAAAGTTGAACTAAATTCAAAGGATAAGCGATCTAAAATCTGAAGAAGCTTTGAAAGCTCTTTGAATTTAGCAGTAAGTACTGTCAAGCATCCGTTCAGTATAATGTTCTGAAGATGCTTTTCTTTTCATGGAACTGGTTTCTTAAAACCTATTGAAAAGACCCTCAGGAGCGAGCAGTACAAGAGAATTTTAGAGTCTTGTCTGCTCTCTTCTGCTGAAAGGGTGCAAATCGACCACACCAAGCTCATTTTTATGCAGGATAATGTCACAAATCAAATTTGATGAAGGAATACTTTGATGAGAAGCAGGTGAGTGTTATGATATGGCCGCCCCAATCTCCTGACGTCAACCCCATAGAAAACTTATGGAGCATTATAAAGTACAGGCTCTTGGGAAAGCAGTTGAGCAACAAAGAGGATTTGATTGTGAATTTCATATCCGAATGGAATTCAATGCTTGGAGATGAGATTTGCCAAAACCTAGTCAAGTCAATGCCAAAAACGGTTGAAAAGGTTATTCAAAATAAAGAAGGACCCATAGATTATGAAATATTTCGAACTATATTACCTATTATAAATAAATTATACCTCTATTATTCTTTATTTAAAGCTGTTAGGTTATGTTTCTATTGATTACTAGTTGCAGGAAATAAGTGAGTCAATTTTTTTTGCATAGAGTTTTTCCCTAAATCTCATTTATATCCAAAATTATAATTATCAATAGAATACCTTAGGGTGAGTAAACTTTTTTACTAGGTGGTCGGGAAGGGGTCTTTATATTAGTAAGATTAAAAATTAGTTTGACCCCAAAAACAATAGGCAAAAAAAAATTTAAGTAAAAAAATAATCAGGTGAGTCACTTTTATCGAACAACGCTGTATGTGTGACAAGGTTGAAGGTCAATCTGTGCCTAGCGTACATTAGCTTCATTACCGTAGCAACAGTCCTGACACTTTTTGACCAGGACTTTTAAATACACACATTGCGGAACAAAAGTTTATTCTATAAACCGGACATTATTTTCGAAAGAACCCGATGACAGAAATGAGGGAACGAACTCGCTTAATCATTTGTTCTGCAACGTTTTATCTTATTTCTGTCCCAGAACCTAACGGCGTCGAATGCAGGCAACATATTTATTTGTGCCCCGCGGGGAATCGGCCAATCACGTTCTCAATTGAGTGGAACTCTTCTGAGCGAGAAGAATACAGAAAGATCATATTCAAGTAAAAATATTATTTCAACGCCATTTTGTTATGTAAACATCGGCATATCCGAAAACGCTTCAAAGACATCACTTGGGATTTTTAAGTAAGTTTACACAAATCGTATCAAAATATTATTATTTGAAGGTTTATGGGAAATTGTATTGTATATTTGCCTAGGGAATCCAGTGTCAGGGAATAGGGTTCAAATTGCTAAGGAACTTGGTGCAGTGTTACGACTATATATTTTTTGGATTAATAATCACCCAAAAGCCACTCAAGGTAGATGGCTACCGAAAGAGCTTGTATGAACGTTCAAGGAAGATTGATACGTTTTCTACGGCTTATCAACCCTTTGCTGGTTATTTAAAGCCAGAAAATATTTTTAGATTTCAAGAATATTTTTTTAAGATAATAGTTTAGTGATAAAAGTCTTACTAATTAACCCCTATCTGGGGACTGATGAGTTGGATTTATATCTTTCCCAGGAGTATTTTTGCTCTGTGAATAGTGAATATAACGAACCCAACTGGAATTGGAACTCGGCTCTCCGATTAACAAATTTCGGACTATTATCTATTTTACCAGCTGCACATCCAAGATATAGCACCATGTATTTCCAAGCGGTCACCCATCAAGCGCTGACCAGGCTCGGCATTGCTTAACTTCGTTTGGAGGAGGGGACGGTAAGAAGTACAACTATATATGTAGAAAAGATAGCGGTTGACGCTAACCTTGAAAAGGTTAAGCTTGTTGTGGTCGGAAAAGCACCCTTTCAGGAATCTGTTCCACAAAGAGTGGGCTCTTGGGAAGGAATTGTCGTAATGGATATTTCCTCCTTACAGATGATTTGTCCCTATGGATATGACATGGCGTGACTTAGCTGTAAATGTCTGAATTGCTGGACCGAAGGAATGAGGCTCGTCTGAACTGTAGTATCGTATGCAAATTTGATAGACAAGTATAAATAGAGAACAACTGGCGAACATAGGGTTCTATGCCTAGCAAACCCGATTGCTGTTCAGGACACGGAGAACTGTACTACGACTGTTACTACGCAGAGAGATTTGCAAAGCATAATGTGAATATTTTTAATGGAAATGGGGATAGGAAAAGAGGCACACGACGTCGAGTCTGTAAGAATGGTGTTACGTGATTGATTCATTCAGTTATGTGCCATGTGTGATACACCCTTAGGTGATCATGTATCTTTCGATACATGATTGACAAAGCAGATTTTTTTCCCGGAGTATGTTGTCATTTCTTTCTGCGGTAGACCAGCTGCCATCCAAGGCTATAGAATCCGGTCTGCCCTGCTATTTACCCATAGATGGGGGGAGAAGAAGAGGATTCGTACCTTTCCCAAGGGTATTAGCATGTAAGTGAATTTAATGGATTTGAATGGAATTCGACCTCCGATTCCTCAATCCGAGTCGCTATCCATTCATTTACGTGCTATGCGTGATACATGCTTAGGTGATCATGTATAAATCAATACATGACTGACAAGGCAGTTTTTTTCCCGCAGTAGGTTGTCACTTCTTTCTGCGGTAGCCCAGTTGCCATCCAAGGCTATAGAACCCGGTCTGTCCTGTTATTTACCCATGAGAAATCATACATTTAGCAAAGTTATTAGCACGTAAGTGAATGTATTGGATTCGAATGGAATTCTATTGGAATTCGATCTCGGCTCTTCGATTCCTCATTTCGAGCCGCTATCCATTACTCCATTGATTCATTTGTTTGTTTAACGGCATATCAACTCCTTATGGGTCATTTAAAGCCGAAATTTCATTTTCTT